AATATTGTTTTATTCAATTTATATCAGTTTTGAATTTTAATTATAGATACTTTAAAGTACAAACAAAATAATTGAGTGGTAAAAAAAATGTATTTATTTATCTAGTGTAGTGTTTCTAAATATATAGTGGAATTTTATAGTAATCATTATTTTGAAAATACTGGTTATGTAGGTAAGTAGATGAGCAGATATACGCTCAAAATTTTATATTTTTAAGGGCACAAACGATACGGGTCTTGCTTTGAAAAATCGATGCCCCCATGGTATTTAAAATATGATATACCAATTTACAACTTTGTTCTTCTATTTATTTATTAATTTATTTATTTAACGCCCATGACAATATTACAATAGATTTACATTATATATAGTGTATATGCTAAAGATTAATAAAAAGAACAAAACAAAATATTCAACACTAAATAAAAATTACTTATATGAAACACTTGATAAAACCTACAAAACACTATTTATAACATCATTTGAGGAGCTTTGTTTTTTATAATTTTATATTTTACCAAAAACATCTATCTCAGAAGCAAATTCGTTTGTTGTCTTTTGTTATATTCTAAAAAAAGGAACAACGCAAGAATTATGTTTAGAATATAAAAAGCCAGAAATAATATTTTTTTAAAACTTTCTCAAAATGCTGCAATCTGATCTCTTACCATTTCCCTTTATATTGCACGTGGCGTACATAATTTCGGAATTTTCCAGTTTTATGATTTTAAGGTTGAATTTACTGCGTAAATGATATTTTTCTCTGAATTTTGAATTTGTGTTTAATCTCGACCATATGCATATGGCCTGTAAGCAAATTGTCATGTTTGTTTACAAAAGCGTGCAGGCGTGCACATGAAAAGAAGCCTTATGTTATTTTCTCATAATCGAATGAATCGCACCATTGCGCTCCGTTAGTGGAGGAAGAGCTAATTCGATATTAACCAGTTGAGAGTGGCACTTTTATTTAAAAATTACGAGTGTAATCGTCAATTACAGAATATTGTATACATATTAAATATTATTCATAAAAAAATAAAAAGTTAAAATCTTTCTATGGAGGGGCATTTATCATAGTCAAAATATGAGATATCTTAGTCAAATATTTAAAAAAATAGAACACTTTTGAACATTTTTTTAACAGGGTTTGTTTGTTTCAGTGTGTAGTAGTAAAATATCAAAATAATTAAAAATAGTTCGTATTTGAGAGTTGATTAAAAACTCTTATGTTATGTAAGAGCTATTTTCACTTGGAAACATATTGCTGATCTATATTTTTACATCAATTGAATATAAATAAAAATAAAATTATTTTTGTGTTTGTTTAGTCAATTATTTTTGGTAAATAGAAGAATTTTGAACATTCTTTCAACAGGATTTGTTTGTTTCAGTTTGTAGTAGTAAATATCAAAATAATTAAAAATACCACGTATTTGAAAGTTGATTAAAAACAACTTTATTTATGTTTATTGTGTACTATTTAATTTATACTTACTGATAGTCCAGTCATTTAAGCTTAAATTAGGTAAGAATCTCGGAATTGGAGTTACCCAGCTGTAAGTCTGTAAATTACTGAATACCTACATATGGTAAGGTGTCAATACCATATGTAGGTTTTGAGACAACTTTAAGGTGTAAATATACAGTATTTACAGAATTACAGCTGGGTATCTCGAATTCCGAGGTGAACTTACTATAATGACTGGACTACTATGTTTTTGTAACTAATTTTTGTGATGATCTTAGAATAGTATACAAGCCATCAATCTACAGGGTTTATTTATTGAACTATTCTTTAATTAATTACTTCTCCATTATTAATTTATTCATAAGGAAGTGAATAGATTTCCTTATACAGCAATTCTTACGTAGAAGTATAAAGAGATATCCAAGTGTACGTTTTGTTGTATGCCGAGTGTACTAAAGTTTATACAGTTTTCCAAAATTTTCAGCAAATATATTTCATTTAAATTTGACTTCTTGACTCTTCTTGAATCGAAAAATCAGTTTTATATCGACATTTACCTACTAATTTCCACCTCCAGTTGCATTCGTCTGCTAAGGCAAAAGGATGTTTAAAAGTTTAAAGACCCGATCTTTTATAGCCTGTGCGTTCATTCTAGCTCGGCGCATTTGTTTACAGTGATTTAAAAATAATATTTCAAGTTTTTTTTAAACTTATGATTTGACTGTTTCAAATTATGAAGTCACTGCAAAAATATTATTCATTTCTTCTGGCACAAGAATGATGGTCATTGGTTTCAAAGTTTAATTTTATTGGTTGATTTCCAAAGGCAAATTTTTGACTAACAATCAGCAAGATATAATTTTTTGTTAATAACTGTATTTGTTTATGCAATTTAACTCTATTTTAAGCCTTCCTATATTATTTAGATATATTCAGATATTAATATCACCCATATATCTCAAACCATCAATTGTATCCAGCACTTTCTTAAAATAAAAATTTAAATATTATGAAATGAAAAAATATAAATGATAAATTGGTATATCTAAGTTTTATATAACATGATTAATTGCATGCCAACTCTTTTGATCATTTATATTTTCATAATCAAACTTAATTCAATTTTGGTTTAATCCTTCGTACAGACAGCACGATATCAAGCAGTAGTGACAGTGGCGGATTAAGCTTTCTGCCGCCCTAGGCCCTATCCGTTCAGGCACCCTTTTTAATAGACAAAATTTTACTTTTTTAATTAAACAATTTATTTTAAATTATTTAGATATAATTTTTAACTTTGCGTTGGGTAAGTTATAGTAATTTTAAATAGTAATTTCGGAGTTACGGAGCAAAGAGTGCAGAAAATAGAATCGAGTTTTTGAGAGAACGAAGCATCCAATTTAAATGATCTAAAAACATTCAATTTGTAAGATGGGGAAGTGGTAATTAGATTTTGGCAAAGGCAGGTCCAGCCGCCCAGAATCAAGAGGGTTTACGAGAAACTAAGTGCTAAAATGGCAGTTTATTGAGAGAACTATAGCGTCATTTTTAAAGATTCAAAATTTCTTTCTACAAAAATATTTTTTTCAAATTTTCAAAAAATTTTTTCGTGTATTTAATAATAATTCAGATTTTATTAATTCTTCTGACTAAAGTTTTAAATCTCACATATACTAAAGAATTATTCGATGCTTTTAAAAAGAATAATAGTTATTGATTTTGAATTAGAGGTTGAAAAAATACTATATACATACTACAATGCGAAGAGATAAAATATATTTTATCAAAAACCACATAACTCTTCGCATTGTAATATTTATAGTATTTTTTCAACTAATTCAAAATTAATAATTATTGACAATATTCTTTTTGAAAGCATCTAATAATTCTTCATGAAGTTCTGAAAAAACAATTAAAAATAGCATTAATCACATATTAAAAAGCAAAGATTATTTTGCAAAAATTTTATTTTAAGATATTTCGATATTACATAATTATCAGTGATGCGCACATATATATATTGACACATTTATGTTTATAATTAATATAATTATTTAAATATTTTATTTTTGATAATTATATGTACTTAATTAGGATGCAACTTTTTTCCTCACCACCCATGGGGTAAAGTTGCCAGGCGCGTTTTTTTTAATGTGGTGTCGCCACAGAAATAGATACTTCTATTCATATTTACGTTTCTAACATTTCAGATGGAAATGGATATAGTGTAAATACTACTAAGTATCGATTTCTGCAGCCCTAATCCACTTAAACTAACTTACAAACTAATTATACCTAACTGACCCGAATATATCGCGAAAAGAAGAACCACCGCGAAATGACCTAATGTACCCAAAAATTTCGGTTTTTAAAAATGAAAGAACCTCTCGTGGTAAAGAAAAAAATCAATATAAAATCTGTACTTTAGTATTTTAGCGGTGATTGTAAATTTATAAAAAGAGCATTTACATGATGTACCCCCCGATCCACCATGTAAACACTTGGAAAAAACCTTCATAGGTTCCCAGCCCATGAATTTATGACAAATGATAATAATTAATTAATGTAAAGAAAAGCGCGAAAAATATAAGAGAAGTTCTTTCATGACGCCACCCTTTTGAGCTCTGAATAAAAGTACGCGAACAACACCCAAAAAAGGTACGATCGAAGATTTTATATGTCAAAACGTCCCTTAACCTGATATTAACTAAATACTACTATAATAATAAAAAGTCTTATCTCACAGTTAATTTTCCTTTTGATTATGTCATATCATCCAATTCAGTTGCAGGCGGTAGTTCAGGTAGTAGTAGTGGTGCTAGTTGGTTTTGAGTTAATATTTTCTGCCAAATCTCGTGCAAGATCTAAAAAGAGGTAACATAGAATTTCATTACATTTATTCGTATGGGTTGCAGAAGTAATTGTTGGTACCCACTTGCACATGTCCTTTAATTCGTAGTGGTCTCTGGTGGTTCGTGTATATCTTGGTAAAACATATAGACATACAATATATGTCTTCTTTGAAAGACATCTAAAATGAAAAAAAAACACAACAAATGCCCCTAAAAATAGGGACAAACAAATAAACGGGGCTCCGGTTATATTAATAAAAGCATATATCTCATAACTAATAATAAGGTTAAATTAACAATAATAGGATAAAAACCTTTAAATATGCGTTATCCTCCTGGCAGGTATTTAGAAGTCCTGGTGCTTTGTGGTGCGAAAAGAAATTAATTCTGTAACCCTGAAATAAAAAGTGGTTTAGAAAATATAAAGAAAAAAGATTTATACATATTACTTAGCAGTATGCCAATAATTTTAGTGTCTTGGTACATCAATTGGTCTGACCATGTCCTCCTATGGGTTGTGGAAGTAGTTCTTGGTAGTCACTTGCACATATCTTTCTATTCGGTAGAGTTTTTTTTGGTAGTACCTGTATGCTTGGTAAGCAATTTTCTTGCAAAGATATCTGAAATGAGATAAAAAAAACACAAGCGCCCCTAAAAATAGGGACGAACATACAAACGGGGCCCCGGTAACAAAAAAATATTTTATACTTATATCTAACTAAGGTCTAATTACTTAATATTAACTTATGAATTAAGAAAACCTGTACGTATCTATATTGAGGTGAACTGAAAGGGTTAAGGGTACTCTTGTTAGAGTGCAATGATTGCTATTTGGTATATTTAGCATCTCACTCCCAAATATGAAGGGTAATTTAACTCTGCATGCCTGAAATGAAAAGTGACTTGAGAACATGGAATAGATGATGAATCATAAATACTATATGTGGCAACCTGCTTGTAATCATTCTAGTGCTCTGGTGCATCATATAGGTACACATCTTCTCCTGTTCGTTGTTGGAGTATTCTACCTCCTGGTATCTTTAGTTGAGGCCCATTTACACTAAAATAGATGTTAATTTTGTTATTTTTTACATAATTTAGGGTTTTGTATCATCATACTTTTTTTAACTTCAAACAGTACGTCTTCAACATTTCTCCGTTTAGGAGACTTATTGTGCAATCACAAAAAATTTAAATTATTTAATTAAAATATGTTCATTGCATTACGGTAGAAAAATCAGTCAAAATAAAAACAAGTAATTTATTTAACAAAAATTTTTGATTTTTAGACTAGTTATTTACATCCATGCTACTAATAAAATAATTCCAAAAAATAAACATTGTACAAATAATACTAATTATAAATTAAAGTGTATGGGGTTGCGTTGCTTCTGGGAAAAACATCGCAAGGACCCATACACCAAATGAAAAAAAAATTATTAACGAAACGCGAATTACTAGAACCTGCCGTGGGGGGTAGGCGACAGGAACACATTTAAACGCGGAAATCGTTTTAAACGATATTAAAATTACGAATAAGTCCTCGCACGAACAAAAAAAAAATTAAAATGTGGACGCAAATAACTCATAATTATAATTTAACAAAATTATAAAAAATAATTAAAAATTGTAAATGTGATTGAATAAAAAAAAATTCATGCACAATAAATCCCTAAAGCAATCCGCCACTGCGCAAAACACTGTATGAAATCTGAAACAAAACAAATATAGTCAATCGTAAATATTTGAAAGATAAGATTTATATTAAAATTTAATATTATTTAATTATATTCAAATTTAATAATCCAAAGATTGCATCAAATTATTTATGTTAACTCAAATGCTAAAATTAAATATTTTCACAACAATAAACACTAAGGCGACACTACAGCACAAATATATTGGATTAGAAAATGTAACGCAAATCGTTTAATATAAAAGAGATGAATTTTTACTTCAATTTATTTACATTCTTATAATTATAATTCAACAGAAAATCAAGTCAAATCGAATCAAAACCCAAGTTCCAAGACACGTATTTGAAACTGAATGCACGAAATGATTACATAATACATAAATATTTTTTAAAAGACTTACCACTGACTAGTGTCCACCGAGAGGTCCAAATACAGAATGATTTTATTTGTTATTGCGCATCTTTTTTATTGGGGTCAGAAAGGGACAAAACTATGAATTGTTACCAGATGATACTAAAATTCAAAAATTCTAAAATTGTTATCTAATTGAATAGTTTCGGGTTCGGAACCATAGAGGGTGCAATACGAAAAGTTTATTGTACCTCACAATCAGTCATAATTCAACCTTCGTGGCGATATGGTCGAAATTATTACTGCTAATATTTGCATCTAGTTCTGTTTGATTCATATATTTGATTTGATTGTGAAGTATTATTTGTATTAAATACGTTTTTATTTGTATTTTCGTCTTATTAATTTGTGCGTTTTTATATATAATTGTAAAATAAAACTAGTGGTGTATGGCATCGTGCCTTAAGGCAAATTGCTGGAACTTTCCGTACCGTAATGGAATATTCGAGAAATTTAAACGGTTTTCAAATATATTATTACAGATACTGTAACTTTCATTATTTTTGCTATCTTGTTATATCTGAGCTGTAAATCATAAATCAATTTAAAAAAAAAAAATAGTTGCCTAATTTACACAAAATTGAAAAAGTGCTCCCGTATAGTCACAGTCTAAACGCATTTGCAAATAATTCCAAGCAAAAAAATATTTTTTTAAAAAAAAAATAGAAACAAATTTTTTTTTTCCAAAAGCAATTATTTTGGCGAAACAAGCAGAAAGTTCTTTGAATCATTTAAATCGAACGCTTAGTTCTCTTAAAAACTGCAATTTTTTTAACATTTAGCTCTGTATCTCCGAAACCGATGGGCCTACCTTTGCGTCCAGCGTCCGATTTAAATGATTCAAAAAAACCTTCTGCTTGTTTTAACAAAATAATTGATTTTTGAAAAAAAAATCTGTTTCAATTTTTTTTAAAACAATTTTTTTTATATATCGAAAATAATTCAGATTTTATTTTTGATTCTGACTAAAGTTTCAAAGCTCACTTATATACTTTATAAAATAGTTTCAACTTTGCAATTCAGTTTATATAATTCTTATAAATATTATACAATGTTACAGTATTTATTTGTAATAATCTATTTGAAAACATTTAATATTTTTCGAACATTTCGTTACGGTACGAGAAGTTCTAGCAATTTGCCTTAAGGCACAATGCCATACACCCCACTAGTTTTATTTTATTTTATTTCGAACAAAAAAGCTTATTAATTTGATAATTTTTATTTTAAACATGATACATCACTAAAAATATTAATGAGGCGCCCTTGAATAAGTTTGATTAGAAAACGAATAACATTCTATTTCATAGAGATTTATCTAGATCAAGATCAATCCTTAAAATAAATTGCCGTGACAAAAAAAATCGGAAAAATTTGCCGCCTCCCAAATTGTGCCGCCCTAGGCCCGGGCCTCACAAGTAGACAAGTAAACAGACAGATAGGCAGGTGGATCATATAAAAATAAAAAATATATTATAGATTAAATCGATAATTACAAATGATTTAAAATGACTTTAAAAGTCAAGAAAACTTATGTCATGTTCGAGATTTCTGAAGGAAACATAAGCTTCTTCGAAAATAAAAAAGCATACAAATTAATTAACTTTTTACGGTATTTTCTCTATCACATTTTCCTGATTCGTATCTGTATTTGACACAACATGGTAATTAATCATGTCATCTGCGAAAAAAACTGCTTAACACTCTTCTCGTCTCGAGGCAATACAACGCAATGTCCCATAATCATCGATAACGATTATGTCATATATAAACTTTCACTTTCTTCCAGAGATGGCTGGGACTTATCTCACCCAAGACTGGAAATACATAACATAAGAAAATAAACCGAAACCTGACCGGTCCAGACCGATACCGAAAACTAAACTAAAAAGACACACATGGAACCGGTTTTGTAACATATGACCGATCGGCGTACCATATGGAGTATTATCATATTGACTCTCAAAGAACATATTAGTTGTTACGAAATTGAAATATGTACACACAATGCAATTTTAAAAGCCTACGCACTATAGTTATTTGCTATTTAGACATAGATTTATTAAGTAGAAATCTGATAAGAATCTGTAAATAATAATATATTGAATGTATTATTTGATTACACAATTTTGCCTATTAATTATGGATTATGCGAGTTGGAAAAAACCAAAACGCTGTATTGAGAAATAAATTGAAATATAATTTACATCTAATTTGTAAAAATATTTTCTGCTTTTTTAAATCATTCTTATTTAGATCATTTTTTTTTCTAATTTACATTTTCAAACATAATACATATTTAGGTTTTTAAATTTGTAATTTGATGAGCATTAGGTCAAGTGTAAAAAATTTTCACACTTTACACCGCAGTTCCCAAATTATTATTTTTTTAAATTAAACTGCATGAAATTATTACATCATCTCATGGGGGTGACCAAAATTCTTTAAACGGATTTTTTTTTTAAATTCCAATAGAAACGTGTATTAAATTTATCAAACATTGCTGGTTCAATGTTTAAATGTATTGTTTCTTCCTTTTGGATTCTAAAATAAAGATATTTTTAATATTAAAAATTTTTTATAAGAAAAATAATTGATGCCTCTAAAAGATACCTTACTTATAAACAAAGTAAAAAATGAAGATACAACTCTTTTGTGTTAAGAATTTATGTTAGTAAAAAAAAAACAAAATTCGGGCGGCATCCGAGTGAAAAGGGTTAATAATGAGCATTTTACTATGAAAATCTAAAAATTGACAAAAATTAAATGGAGATTCAATAAAAATTAACCTATTTATTTCAATATAAATTCAAACAATTGACTTAAAAATAAAAAAAAAATTGGTCACATCGAATCACCATCTGTACTCCTGATTACGTCCATGGATACATAAAATAACTGAAAATTAATAATATATTACTGAGTACTAAATATTTTGTAATAACATATTCAAATTATAGTATGTTCGAACTGGGCCTACCTTTGCGTCCAGCGTCCGATTTAAATGATTCAAAAAAACTTTCTGCTTGTTTTAACAAAATAATTGATTTTGGAAAAAAAATCTGTTTCAATTTTTTTTAAAACAATTTTACTAAATATTTTGTAATAACATATTCAAATTATAGTATGTTATTGTAATTGCAGTATGTTATTACTGCGAGTCAGAGAGATTAAATATTTTTTCTGAAGAATTTGGATTAGTCTATTAATCGGGATATGTAACAATTTAAAATATCAGTACAACCTTTTAATTTTATTATGCATACATTTCTAACAGCAATCAGAATTTAATAAGTCCTATGATATTTTTTATACATGGCAACCCAAAAGGTTGTCGCATCTCTCTACGTCTAATTAAAATCTCATAGCTCTTCTAATCAAAATTTGGAAAAATTGCAACATTTCTGAAAGACGATTTTAAATTCAGTTTTACCGACTTATATGATAAAGATGAAAATATATGCAAAACAAAAGAGATAAAATGCAGACATACATGCTGCCAAGAAAGCACAAAATTATGCAAAAACCATTGTATTTTGGGGACACAAGACCATAATAAACAGTGTGTGCTATTTTATTTTTTTGGTTATAAAATTCGACTTGCCATCAATTTATATATTCAAAAAAAGAAACAAGGTAAAGCAAACGTTACACATTTATAATATACGAAAAACCACTTATATAAAATGTTGTTTTTTATATGTTTTATAAATGATTGTTGACAAACGACTATTTCATGAGAATTTTGTTTCCGAAGATCTTGTATTTGTATGTACACATAATTGAAATTTTTATGAATATGATTTCCAAAATTACTATCTGTGTTATAATTCAATTTTCTTATTAACTTCCCATAGGGCAAGTTATAGTAATCGCAAAAAAATTGAAAATGAAAATTTTTATATATCTTTACGTTTCAAAGGTTTCTGAACATTTTGGCATACCTTAGAAAAAATAGATGTATGTGTGTGTATGTATGTACGTGTGTGTATGTATGTGCGGATACAAATTTTCGTCGACGATTTCGGGAACACGGATCAACCGATTTGAATAATTAAAAAAACATTCGATTCGTATTGGTAAGGAGACGTGCTGATTAGTTTTTGGCGAAGG